ATGCTCCATCGAAACTCATTCAACATGGCCCTCTGGCCCCATACTCTTTCACGTCTGATCTCAGTCTGACCTACCACATCGGAATAGCTGGTAAACCAGAAGCACTGACCGTCACGAGTCTTGGTACTCAAACCATGTGACCACCTCTCGATCTGCTATGAATCATGGTACCCGAGCCATGTTATCTCTTCTTAATCTGCTACGAATCGTGGTACCCGAACCATGTTCTCTTTTCTCAATCCGTTACGAATCATGGTACTCGAACCATGACATCACTTCTCAATATGCTACTTACCATGGTACTCGAACCATGACATCACTTCTCAATCTGCTACTTACCATGGTACTCGAACCATGACATCACTTCTCAATCTGCTACTTACCATGGTACTCGAACCATGACATCACTTCTCAATCTGCTACTTAGATCCTCCGGGATACTCCCTGCATCGAGTATGGGTCCTCTGCTTTCAGTAGTACGGGCCCATACTACCTGCCACATCTACCCATACTTTCTACACGGACCATCCCAGAGATTCTAAGTAGCTGCTTAACCTTCTCAATCACCAATCTCGTCACGCGTGCTCGCTCCCCAGCGAAATGCTCTACTCTGCCAGCGCACTCATCTGACCATAGCCACCCCCTAGGTTCTTCCTAGGTCCTCACACTTCTCCGCCATCAGCTGCTGAAGAACTCCTAATGATGCCAGCCATTTACCTCTTGAATATCGTCATATTCACTTAGTAGCTGACTCCCATCATCGAGAGTTCCACAAAGCATGAAGCAAGCAGCATTCGGGCATCGAATAATGACGTAAAACCCACTCTAGGTTACAACTCCATTGGCTCTACTCATACTCATCATGTGTCACCGAACTCAAGCAACTCTACCCCACGCGGGCATCTAACTACTCTCTTAGAAGACTCCACCAACGCTCATCTAGGTATCTCTCCTAGATTACTCCTCTACTCACATCCCTCTCTAAAAAGAATTACTGCTGGATACTCTTACTCAACACATACTCGAAAGCACATGACAGATAACAGCAACTCCTAGGCTAAGGCATCACAAATCAGGCCGCTCTAGTCCTAAATATGAAATACCTAGCCTATCTCTAGCATGCATAATATCTCATAACATATCTCATAATACAAAAGTAAGGGTATTTTGGGAAATCACCGTTCGGGCTCTGGCTGATTTACACACTGCTCTTTCTCGTTTTCTCTTAGAAACTCTTGTTCGCTTTAGAAAAATCATTTCTTTGAAAAATTTTCTCAATTCCTCAGTTTGAGTCCAGATTTACCCGAAGGTGCATCCGAATCCCTCAAACCAAGGCTCTGATACCAACTTGTAACGACGTGAATTTTCAAAACAAATTTTTCATTTTAAATCATATAATTTCATAACATCTCGTTTGTTTATTTTACAAAACGCACTCCAGGTTTAATTAATTAGTAATCCAGGATCCTCGAAAGATAATTCCTTCTCTGGTGTGTACAATCAAGCCGGTGCCGTCCCGTGATCCTGAGAAAAACCTGAAACACATAACACGTAACACGGTAAGCACGAAGCTTAGTGAGTTCCCCAAAATACCACATACAACACATATTAGCTACTCGATGCTATAGCTCTGTACGACCCTCTGGTCAATGTGTCTCAGTGGGACCCTCCAGTCCCATAACTCTGTGGACCCTCTGTCCCTAACTCTGTGGACCCTCTGGTCCTAACACTGTAAACTCTGAATCATACATAGCATAAATCACATAGGATAACACAGTATAGCACATCATACAAATATCATATAAGGTACCCTGTCACACAACTCTAATTACCACTCTAGGTAAAGTATAGTGAGAAGACTCACCTCGGGTGATAAACATCCCCTAGAAATGTTGCTGCTACGCACCGACCACTAACTCTGTGTCAACCCACAATTAACCCAATTAGGAACTAAGTCCAACTCCCACTCAAAAGGTCCAAGACAGACCACAATCATCCCATCAATAACCTATAACCCATTAGGCCCACCAAGGCCCAGCGATAAGTGGGCTCTCCAGTGGCTCAAAATCTCAGATCTCCAAGGCAAGCCCAACACTAGATAACTCCCCAAGCCCACTAATGTCCCATTTTGCTAAACTGGGCACACTCCCTCCAATGGGCCTTACCCCAAGCCCAACTATATATCCTTGGCCCAATAACTTCAGACTAATGATGGCCCAACAGCCTAAAGACCCAAAGCATGGCCCAAAACACAAAGTCCAACACAGGCAAGTTACGCGAGGCGTACTCCTATGTACGTTAAGCGTAACAACTAGATGGCGAGTACGCTGGGCGTACCTGCACGTACGCTCAGCGTAATTCTCCTGTTAAGCCCTTTTCCATTAAGTGCTTATTACTTCACTCCAGAGGCTACAAATTCAGATCCAGGTCCTTATTATCCTCTTAATCCTTAAAGTCATAATCTTGGTGACTTGCAATCCACCAAATAAGCTCAAACTCAAAAGGTAACAACATACTTCCATAACAAGGGCTAGATATCATGCATGAACTCAATATGACCATCAAGATTGAAACTTTACTGCTTATGAGACCCTTTTAGCCCTGAGGGTGGCAACCCTAAGCTCAAAAACGAGATTCCAACATAAAGGTCCAAACTTGGGACCAAAACAACTCCAAACTTTACTACACAAGATCTATGCATTCTTAAGTAAAGTTATGAACTTTATACCTCAGAAGAGCTCCAAATGTTGGTGATTTTCCAGATCTATGAGCTCCAAACTCCCAAGTCCTTCCTTTCCAACTTCTTCTTTTGCAACACCCAAGCTTACATCACCAAAATAACCCTCTTGAAGACCAAATCACTCAAGGTTGAAGATATGAGACGTTCCAGGGCTTCTCTGAGGTTGGGGAACAAAAATGGAGGCTAGGGTTTGAACTATAATGTTCTATATATAGTGGCACACCCTAAATTTAGGGTTTTTGAACTCTGGACGTACGCTGGGCGTACCTCATGTACGCGGGGCGTACGCCAAGGAGCACCCGCGTCCATTTTCCTTATATGCTGGGCGTAACCCAGCCTTACGTGGGGCGTACCCTCGCGCTTCCATTTCACATGCATGGCCTTTCATGCCAACTTTTCTCCTTAAGGGACCATTTATGCCAAAAACTTTCATGTGTCATATCTTCCTCACTCGATGTCCGTTTTCGACGAACTTTATATCCACGAAAAGGTAACGAGAAGCTCTACACTTCTATCAACTTTATTCCTCCTGAAGCCCACTCGAACTCAGATCCAAAATTCATGAAAAGCCCGCACCAACGCCTTTAACAATACATTTGGGCTCTAAAGCACAAACCGAACTCTTTTATCACACAACCTACCTTACCCATATCCCAAAAAGGCCTGAACCTTTATCCTTCAAAGCCTCAAAGCCTTCTCATACTCGGATTAAGGCTCACGGGCCCTAAATCACAAAACAATCTGGAACAGGATGTTACAACAGAAGTGGAGGTGGAGATGGTGGTGGCGAAGGTGGTAATGGAGGTTTTGTTTTTTGTTCACATTTAGTCATTTTTCTTTTTGTACGGTATATATCATCAAACTTGTTGAAATTGTTCACATATTACCTTTTTACCTGCTGTAGCGGGTCACACAGGTAATACGTGAACATGTTCAACAACTTGGATGATATATAGTCTACGAAAAAAAAAGGAACTAACTATGAACAAAATCAATTGTTCGTTACCATCATAAGTACCCTAACCAAAAATAAGGTTTATATGTTTGTTCCCCTTTATTTTATTATTATTTCAATTATTAGTTTTTTGACAAGAAAAGAAGGTATATGTGTTTGAAGGGAAGATTTCGATTCTCCAAATAATGAAATCTAAAAGACCTTAATTTCTTTTAATTTGAGAGTTTAAGTTGGACCGTTGGCTTATCATTAAAAGTTAGAAAGTAAAATAATGAATTGGTTTTTAGGGAAAAACTTGGATAAACCAAAGTTTGTGGCCTAAGTGTGAGAATGAAAAGAGTTTTAGCCTTAAATCTCATAAAAGATTTATCAAAGCATGAAGTTTTTAATTATGTGTGGCTGTATGAGACCCATTTATTATACGAGTTTATTTAAAAAATAATTAAATATAAAATTCAAAATATTTGAGAAGTTTGAATTTAAAAAAAAAAATAAAAAAAATATTGAATTATAAAAATTAAATTTTTTTTCTCTTTTAAATTTAAACAAATAATTTAGATAATAAATAAAGGAAATTAATGAAACTTTAATTTAATAATTTTGAAATTAAAAAGAAAGTCTATTAATGAAATTTATATGCATTTATTATTAGATTTAAATAATACATGAGATTTAATAAAATAGAAAAACCATAAAATTACATGTGACAAAAATGAATAATAATATGACAAGTGACAAAAAAATATTTATTTATTAGAATAGATTTAGTTCATAATGCATTGCTACAAAATTTCTATAAATAAACATGCTCATAAATCAGGACCGAAAGAGACATTAACAGTTATAGCCGGTTCATGACCCTAGATAAACTTTTATAAGCCTCCTGTAAAACGTAACCAATCTACTCTTAAAAACTAGTAACCATATTTTAACAAGTTACAACGGAGGTACGTAGCAGATTATAAGACATACACATTATTAACAGAGGTTGTTAATGTTTTTTTTGAATAAAACTTATTATCGACTAAAATTGTTGACAAATTAATAATTCTTTTAGGAGTTTTAATCAAATATGCCTAACTGGGCCTAGTTAAATCGGATATTTAAAAACTGGGCTGGGCCTAAAAAGGAACTAGATATCTATTGTCGTAAATCTATCAAAATACAAGGGCATAACAGTCATTTACTCCAAACCCTAAATCCCCTTCTCTTCAATACCAAAAGGAACCATAAATTTCTTCTCTTCAATCGCCGTTCAATCTCTTCTTCCCCAAAACCCTAACGCCGTATCAGAAGCAGAGAACAATGAAGTACAACCCACGCGTCAGCAGCTCCCGCCGCAAATGCCGTAAGGCTCACTTCTCTGCTCCTTCGAGCGTCCGCCGTGTGCTAATGAGCGCACCACTCTCCACCGACCTCCGATCCAAGTACAACGCCCGATCAATCCCCGTCAGGAAAGACGACGAGGTCCAGGTCGTTAGGGGCACCTACAAGGGCCGCGAAGGTAAGGTGGTTCAGGTCTACCGTCGGAAGTGGGTCATCCACATCGAGAGGATTACTCGTGAGAAGGTTAATGGGCAAACTGTTAACGTCGGGATTAACCCATCGAAGGTCGTTGTCACTAAGCTGAAGCTTGATAAGGATAGGAAGTCGTTGCTTGATCGTAAGGCGAAGGGTCGTGCTGCTGATAAATCGAAAGGGAAGTTTACTGTTGATGATGTTGCTGCAGGTGAATCTCTCCAGGAAATCGATTAGGTTATGTTTTCTTCTTTGTTAGCTTATGAAATTCCCCTTTTTGATATGTTGTTTTGATATGAGAACTATTTCTGCGAGTTACTGTTATGCATTTTGCGAATTAAACAGTTTGTTGCTTAGATTTCTGGTTTTTATGAATTTGATATTGTTTTGTGGTTACCTGTTGAGTACATTCATGGGGTATTTGAATCAGTAATCAGTTAGTAGTGGTTAGTGAACAGATTGTTGTTCATTCCATGCTGCAAACTCATCTTCTTGATTGTTTGGGATAAGAACATGCTGCTGTTCTTGAGTAATTGAAAGATGATTCTTTGATATATAATATAACCTTTTGATTGCTTGTTGAATCACTTTTTTTGAATATGTTATTGATGTAAAACCATATGTGGTTAGTATTTAGTTTTCCTATCTTTGTTGAAGATTATGTTTGAGCATTAACAATGTTAAAAAATTGGGTTGTCTTTTTGACTTAATGTGCTTAATGGGTTAAGCACTTATATTTGATAGTTGTTCATTGTTTTTTTTTGTGCTTAATATGGATCTAATGACTTAAGTGTTAAGCATTTGATTACCCTTTTCTTTATTTCCAAATTCTAAAATAAATGATTAAAATGGATGCCAATATAAATACCATAATAAACTTCTTATTTTACCACACCACAAACTTCTTCAAACTCTCACATCCTCTCATTTTGAATATCCCATGGATTCAAGATGTGATAAAGGTAAAAGGTATGACTAGAAACCGAAACATGAGTTGTGCTTTTGGTTCATAAGATGCATGTACTCCCAACTCTCAATTCATTAAACTTACTTTTTACAATCTTGCCTATTGTCAAGTGCCACCACAACCAAGCTTGTTATGAAGAAAGCGACGAAACCCAACCCAACAAACAAGATGTTATAGAAACCAACGAGTCTTGTATCATCTAAGTTGTTTGATAGTTGCTGATTGAGTGAGATCTGTCCGAGTCAAGAAGTCAAGCTCTGACAACGTTTGTTTCTTATTGAAACTTGTTGCCTAGTTTTGACAAAGTCTGTTTCTGTTTGAAACTTGCTGCTTGATTTTGGCTTCTGACTGAATGTACTAAATGATGAAAATAAAATGTTTGAATGTACTAAATGATGAAAATAAAATGTTTGAATGAAGTTGTTGAATAATTATAAAAAGTACAATCATACTCAAATTCAAACAAATCAATTAAAATCCAAATACAAACATACTCAAATTCAAATTAAACATAAATAAGTTAAAACACAAACACACTCAAATTTAAACATATATCAATTAACTTGAACTATTTGAAAGTAGTTGATTAGCAATTTGCTCATGCAAAGTACACATATATTCAATGCTTTTTGAACCTTACTTCATGAACATGATTGAATGTTTCTTTATTTCGTCTTCGTCAAAAAATGGCTAATTTATACTTTGCATTGTGGCAGTGAGTCATAAATCCACGAGTGTTAGTATATGCAACATCACAAATATAATATATTTTTTTTGTAAACGTTATTGTGACAATATTATAAAAAGGTTATAGATAATGTAATTAATAATAAAATTTATATAAGTATTATATACTTTGTGGAGGGAATGGAAATCCGAGCTGAGATTAGATATAACTTTTTTCAAAACTTATAAATCATGTGCTATGTCCTCTCATCCAACTTATACAAAGGTGAATCATATCAAAACCATAAATTTCCACTATGTTTTGATAACATTCACTTTTTCCTCTTCTCCTATAACGAGTTTGTTGATCAACGGGCACAACTGAATGCATAAAAGTTCCATCTAACACACTTATTGCTTCGGCAAATATGTCTTTCAGCCTTCAATGCCATTTTGAGGTATTTGCAGTTGCATTAGATGACGTTGACACTATAATTTCTTTTGCAAAAACATCATTGCAATCCGGACCTCATGAAAACATTAATGAACCATTTTTGTGGAGTGCTAAAATCTTTGTTTAACCACTCGAAAACATTCATTATGCCCTATAACATTTATAACATAGCCATTTTCTTTTCAATTCTTATTGTCCTACTAGCTTGCAACCGATTTCTTTGGGTAAAATGATTGCATAATAGTACAAACGTTTTGAATGAAAGACACATCATATCGAGATATTGTTTGGAAGATCCGCATAGCAGCTATTGTGTATACCCATGTTCGCTTAAATTTGAATCTTTATCTTTTTTTCTTTCAATACGTCTTTGTCTTTGTCAGGCCGACGTCAACAGTTACCATGTAAGTAAAAAGAAAGCTAAAATTTGAACATCCGTATCCATATGTGATGTTAAATACATAACATTTAAAATTCATCCAAATTTCACATTCAAATATCATTTAATATTCATCCAAATACATAACATTTAAAATTCATCAAAATACATAAAGTCATCTAAAAGTAAACCGAAAGTCATAGAAAAGTAATCTAAAAGTTAACCAAAAGTCATGCAAATAATCCAGACTTCCTTTTGACATTTCAACATTTCTCACCCACAACTCACAACTCGACAACTTAAGGTGTAATCAAACTTTTCTAATATCGACACTTTTACTGAATAGTAAAAGAGCCGTTTGGTATTTCATATCAGAATCACCCCACTCCATATTTTCCAACTTTTCCATGCATGAGTCTATCATTATCGATCTTTTTTTTCCCACCAACGAATTTGCAAATTTGATAATTTCCCTCCCAACTTCTCTTAAGTCATCTTCTAGTGTGTTTCAATTAGAGGTGTTGATCAGGTAAAATTTTCGGGTTTCGGGTAATTTGGGTTAGGGATGAGCAACGGGCCAGACCCGGACCGGACCGGCCCGAAGACCGAAAATCGTGAATTTGCTTACCCAAAAACCGGACCGTTTTTGTGTGTATCGGGTCTGGGTTCGGTCCGGTCCGGTTCCGTGTACTAAACCGAGTTTTGGACCGAAGTAGACTTTTTGGACTTACTTCATTTTGATCGGCTTCCATGGAACCAATCCAATTTTCATTCACCATTGTATAGGAGAGGAAAGTATGTTGTCTATAAGAGAGTAGATCCGTAGTTTTTTTTTTTTTTTTTTTTTTTTTTTGTAACAGTGGAATGCGATGGAGAGTTGGAGACTAGAGGTCGAACCCAGAAAAAAAAAATTTGTCACTGCCGTGAATTATGGAAGAGCCGCACAAGGGTTTTTTTTTATTTTTTTATTATTATTATTATTATTATTATTATTATTTTGTAGTTGTTGCTCGTAGGGACGAGCCTCACAGTTCCTAAAAAAACTAATGGTAATTTAATGTTCATGTTTTTTAGAAAAAAAAGCCTTATAAATAATATTATGATAGATACATTACGAATGTTACTTCTTTATTATCTTATTATATCCAATTTGGTGAGACATGTGGTACTCAATTTTAATACTCAATCACATTAGATACATTATTTTTTGTAGCAATAATTTATAATTCAATAAAAGCTTCATAACATTAACTAATATATGTTTTCCGGTCCGGTCCGGGTTAAATCCCGTATTTCGGATACGGTTCGGTCCAAACCCGAAACCGAATAGTGGTAAAAACAAAATCCGAAAACCGGCCCACTAATATGAATATCCGGTCCGGTCCCGATTTTTTTTTGTCCGGTCCGGTCCAAAGGGTCATATGCTCATCCCTAATGCGGGTCGTGTAATTTGAGTTTTTCATATTAAAAAAATTACCCGTTACCCGACCCAAATTAAATTTGGGTAATTCAAGTATTATCCGATTTTTATTTTATTTTATTTTATTTTTTAAATAATGGCACGTAAAAATAAATTTAATAAAATAAATATATCGTGCTTAAACTTTAAACATTGAGATTTTTTAGTCAATAATATTTGAGATATCAAGTATTCGTTTAACAATTTAATCAAACCTAATAAGATGTTACAAAAACAAATACTTAAATATCTTAGTTTAAAAGTTGAATCTCATAATAGAATAAAATAAGAGTTCAATATATAGACTAGATTTATTACTACTCATTGTTTTAGATGAAACATTTGTAAATTAAAACACTTGAAAGACAAAGAAAAATATACACAAATGCATTTTGATGAAATAATAACAACCAAAGTCAACCATTTAAATTATTTGATATCAATGTATATGCATGTATTTTGCATTTACTAAAAAAACTTTCGTCTTAAATCTAGAAAACATAGAAAACCATTAAATATTATGAAAATAATAACATGTCAAGTTCCAAAAGACATTCATAAATATACTCGTCTTCTTGCACCTACTCGTTCTTCTTGCACCTTCACTACTTCATCTTGCTCAATTTTATATAAAAAAAGTCAAATAATGTTAGTATTAAAAGGAAAAGATATTAAATTTACAATAATTAAAATAATCAACGATAAACAATTACCTTTGTCAATTTGTTGATTTTCTTCCCAATCTTTTTCATAATCGATTGTGTCACTTATGCTACCCTGGATCCAATCTTGTGTACAAATTAAACTTTCAACAATCTTAGGAGTCAAAGAACTCCTAAACGGATCCAAAACCCTCCCACTAGTGCTAAAAACGGATTTCGAAGCCACGGTTGAGACGGGAATGCCGAACACATCTCTTGCCATCAATGATAGAAACCGAGAATCTTGGACTATTCACTTTCCACTAATCTAGAATACTAAACATTTCTGAGTCGTCTTCAACACTTTCTTGCAAATACTTTTCTAACTCCCCAATTGATTCAACTATGTTCGTCTTCATCTTTTCTCTTGGAGAATGAATTCTAATATAATCATTATATAATTCATACATAGAATCCATGATATATTACTTTTTGGCATCCACCCCCTTTTCTCCATAACGATCCTCAAGTAGTATAACCAAATATTTTACTTTGTTCCTCGGATCAAGAATCAAAGCAAAGTAGAGCAATAAATTCATTTTTTCTATGCCACCAAAATACTTATCAAACTTTATTTTCATGGCCAATGCAATATCACAAAGACTAGAATC